TTCAGAAACAGAAAGTAGTAAGCTATTTCAGCATATAAGCCGTTAGCCTGGGAAAATTCGTTTTTTCCAAGCAGGTCCGTTGAAAAAACTGCAAAAAAACTACATTTTTCGTATCAAAAATTTACGTTTAACTACAGTTTCTACCCAAATTATAGAGTCGACGGACAATAACCAAAATTGTATCGGACGCCGGCTGGAAAACCTCCGTTGACTGATGTAATGAGATTTCCCGGCGTACTTTTTTTGGCGGAGTTATAGCCATTCGGTCTGAGGGTGTCCGCCGGATCCAAAATCGTGAAAAAAACTCCGGTCCGAGACCTTAAAATACGGTGACGCGAACCCCTAGAAATTCCACATAGAACGCAGCTATTTGGGTCATCAGGCGACAAACCGCATCACCCTTGCTCGCGGACTAATACCAAAAACGCTTCGCTGGCCGTCCAACTTCACCGCGCCGAAAAACACTACAATGCCAAGGCTTTTTGATCAATTCAAAACCTAGTTGAAAATCTACAGCGATCGCCGAGCTATGGGGAGCCAAACCTAGCGTGACAACCTCGCAGATCCGGCGATTTACTGCGCACTATTTGGAACCCTGGTCAGAATTAAACTCCGACCCGGAACCTTAATCTGTAAGTTAACATCACGATGCATATATTATGTTAATGCAGAGGTCATTTGCATAATTAAATAAAAAATTCACATATCAAGCCCATATTTCATGGAGGTATGAGATCTCGGAACTCTTGTTCCGATTGTTATACATTGAATAAGAGTGCACTTTGTATATGAGCATGTTAAGGTTTTTACCTCCTTGCACTGTCATGTTTCATTTATTATGGCTTCAACATGAAGTGATCGTGGTAAAGACGTTATTCGTTTTGCTAGTGTTCCTACCTTTTCAATATCTTCATTTTTTTCACCGGGCAAATTCGCCTTGAAACGTTTTTTTATTTATATATTTACAGGCTGTTAGAATGGATTAATTTGGACTTTTTAGCTGTGTCATTGGTAATGTACTATAGCAGTATGTGTTACCATATTTAGAGTCTTACCATATTTGGGAATTGGGCAGGAGCTCCATGTCCAAATATGAGCATAAAGACAGTAGCAGGTGTGGCCATGTTTGTAGATGTGGTTCCTATTTGGCTATTCACTAATTAATTAAAGAAGACCTGCGTGGTGGCACATACTTGTCTTTTTGGCCAGGAAAAAGGAGGGAACTAATTTGTAAATCAATGGAAATATATCACATAACCTACTAGTATATTTTTATATACCTTGCCATTTTTTACACATTTTTTTTAAATTTGGTTTAAAAATTATTTCAACCAAGTTAGCTACGGATACATGTAGCAGTGTGGTAGGTAAGGTCATTGACCTTTAGTGACAGTGTTTCCAATGATTATGGGGGTCATCTGTAAAGATTTGCCATAATGTCTGGTGCATGTCTGGTTTTATGTACCTGCAACATGCAAATACATGGGCCCACTTGTAACTACATAATATGATTCTTCCAAAAATGACCAAAAATTCACAAAAGTATTTTTAATTTAAAACACATCGAACGCATGAACAACATTCAAACTTATATAAAGTTTTATTAGATTTCTTTTGATATAAAATGTAAAGCGAAAATATACCATCATGGTCAATTTCAAAGTTAAAAAATCTGTTGATATATGTGTCTTCCTAAAGATAGGTATGTATTGTCTCTTCCTCAGTGAATTTCGAGTATAGTCTGAAAGCCGACCTGCTCCATGTGAACAATCGCAACCTGGCACCTGAGCCTGTTAGCCGTACCCAGCCTGAGAACCCTACCGGCACTGACAACCCTACCGACACGGACAACCCTACCGACACGGACAACCCTACCGACACGGACAACCCTATTGTCGCTAGGGTTGTCCGCGACACTGACAACCCTACCAACACTGACAACCCTACCGACACGGACAACCCTATTGGCGCTAGGGTTGTCCGCGACACTGACAACCCTACCGATACTGACAACCCTACCGACACGGACAACCCTACCAGCACTGGAAACCCTACCGGCACTGACAACCCTACCGACACTGGAAACCCTACCGACACTGGGAACCCTACCGGCACTGGGAACCCTACCGGCACTGACAAACCTACCAGCACTGGGAACCCTACCGGCACTGACAACCCTACCGGAACTGACAACCCTACCGGCACTGGGAACCCTGCCGACACTGGGAACCGTGCTGAGACTGACAACCCTACCGAGGCAGAGACCCCTACTCGGATTGAGAACCACATCCGACCCGTCATCAGCTTTAATGGATCTGTAGAACAGATCGTCGACTTGGTCAGTTTCAGTATCTGTAACACATTTCAATTCCTCGTTGGTCTATGACAAATAGACAGTTCGTGGAGGGAGCAAAACATAACTGACCGATGCTGTAACTTTTCTTTCAGGAGGAAAAGAAGGAGCAGCTGGTTGCCTCTGTCGTCATCCATTTCGTAAGTCCACGTAGTTATTAAATATCTCTACACTTAGAATAATATCGCATTCATATAATCATGTCTCGTTTTTATTACGATGTTTATGTGTTTTGCTATCATCATCATAATTTTGCTATAATTTTGCTGTATAATTCTTTGCTGTAACCTACACAGTAATACTTTGTTTCTTGTTACTCCAGACATGGCAGGACAGCCGGTTGAGCTGGGATCCAAAGTACTACGACAACATCGAGACTATCAGCGTCCCTGGCAGCAGCATCTGGACCCCTACACTTACTCTGAAGGGGAAGTATGTAGTGTCTTCTAAAACTATTATCATTGAATCGAGAATGAACCATGCCTGATCTGTTGTTTTTTAAATGTCCTGAACTGCAGAAAATACCATTTTACTTGGAAGATGATTAATGAAAATAACATTACACTGATTTTAAGTCTTGTATGTCATTTAAAGTACCCGTTAAATAAAAATGATCCTGCAGTGCCAAACATTACACATTTGTCAATTACCTTAAAATATAACTAACAAAATGACCGACAATATCTTTGTTAACACTGGGATACAATGCTAGGAATGGTTTAATCAGTTTGACACTAGATGATGGTTATCTTACCAGTAAATTAACTTGTAAAAAACTTACTGATTACTCCACAGTGCTAATCCTTTATACCAAGGCCTACCAAAAATCGTACCGGTCTTGATCAGTAGCAATGGCCAGGTAATCTGGAGGGTAGAAACCCTGACCACCACCGTGTGTGATGCGGACCCCTTCTACTTCCCTGCAGACACCATGGAATGCAACATCTGCTTTGCTGCATTTTCTGCAACCATCGGTATGAAATTGGAAGTATTTTATAAAAAAGATGTCGATATCAAAATAAGTTTTATGAATATAAATCAATAAATAAAAAATGATGTAAATTAAATATAATATTTTATCGAAGCGACCTGGCAACTGTTTGTCACGGTTGACATTCCTTGAACATCCCGGTCACCGTCTACATCTTACTATATTCCAGGAATATTTTGGTCACTGTTTACCAATGATGATAATAATGAAGATGACATTTCAGTGATTATATAATGGTTTTGTTATGGATTCTTTCCCATATACAATGTAAAAATTAAGGAAAATCGGATTCTTGTCAGTATAAAATCTTAGTTCTGTCTGCATACTTTTTTGCTACCCTTGTCATAAAAAAGTCAACTATTTTGCTGATAGTTTGTTGCAATGATTTGTTGAACACAGAATGCCAAGATGGCAGTCCCTGTGGTGTCCTGTCTAACCAACAACTGGAGGGCGAATGGTATCGGAAGGACATGATCTTCGCAAAAGGCAAGACGGAGGCGTGCTTCACTGTTCAGCTGGAGAGGATCCCGCTGTTCCACATCGCCACTACTGTTGGACCCTGTGTCATCCTGGTGGCGCTGATGGTCATCACATTCGTCATGCCACTGGACAGGGGGGATCGGATCTCGTTCGGAGTGACTATTCAACTCTCCGTGGTCGTGTCTCTCGTGTTCGTGACGGATGTGCTTCCTGTCAAGGGGGCGCTGCCATTTTTCGGTGAGTAAACATAGATGTGACCAAGGTGTGAATGTTTTCCTTAGTTTAGAATTTTAAACTAGTTGGAAATTAAAATGCCTTCTTGATTCCATTCATCTGGTTTTCTGCCACTTCTGCATTTCAACCCAAGTACGTAGAATGTATTTTGGCGGCATTAAGTAAACCCTTAGATACCGTCCTCATGGCCAGGCTGGACTCCGTAATGAAAAAAAAAAGTAAGCGAAAATCAATGGGTAATTCTTGAAACCTAAAACTTTATCTTCTTACAGACACTAATTCTGAATTAATAGGCATTTACAACGATGATAACGGAACAGTTTTCTGTTTGCTACGGTGATCATCTGTATTTTCACACCGAGTAATTTAATGTGAACAAGTAGTGTCCGTCCATCTATAAGTAGTGGTTCGAGAGCTGGTGTAGTCTTAGCAAAACAGATTTACAGTCCTCATTGGATTTCATTAGTATTTTGTGATTAGGTTGCTTAGGGTAACTGTTAACCGTGATAAATATTCCCGGAACATGTCGGTAACTGTTAACCACGGATGCTGTTACAGCCTCGCTGATCGTCGTGTGCATGGCGCTGATGGGACTTTTCCTCTTCTTCACCATGGCCATCATCACCATTCATGACAGGCAGGGGAGCCTGTCTCCAACGGCGAAGACCTTCTTTCTCCGTTACATGGCAAAGTATGTACTATTCGTAACACTAGCTCAGGTTAGACGGAATAGCACTGTACAGAAATAGACAAATGCCCTTCAAGTGAAACTCATATACACCTTTATTGTTGTTTCGTTTTTAAGTTATAAGGAGGTTTATTAGGCTCTTTTACATGTTTGGGCTGATATGAATTTAACGTACCAGAAAAGATTCCTTATCTATTTTTATACGATGGAATCAGATTAGCAACTTAATACTTTTATAAACTTTTTTCTGCACCTGTTACCCTTCCAAGCTGCAAATTAGCATGTATTTTAGGCTCTTTTCTTTGTAGATTTTGTATATTTCGTATATATTATATGATGATTCTTTGTAGATTCAGTCTGATTTTTAAAGTATCAACCTTGGTAACATTTTAACATTTTATTCATTGCTTCTATTTTGAACATGAAGTAATCTGAATGTTTGGACATGCCTATTGATATAGGAGTGAAAGTATGTATCAGAAAGAAACATCGACATCATTTTTTATTGGTGGTGTTTGTTAAGGTGCCTACTGCTCGGAGATCTGACAGAGAAGAAGGTCGCAAGCGACGATGGGGAGACTGGACCCAGCAGCAGGAAGCTGGCCTGGCCTGAGCGGACCAACCGCGTCTCCCCTGCCGATGCCCCGGCCGTGGTCGACGTGCAAAGCCCGGCTGTTGTCCGCGAGACTGCCCGTCAGCCGTCCGCGCCGCCCACGCGCCTGGAGGCCGCAGTCTCACGCCTGGAGGTTGCCGTGTCCTCCGCCTCCCGTAACATGGAGGAGCTGGTCGAGGCCATGAAGAACGAGCAGGAGGTGTCTGACTACACCCTGCTGGCTAAGGTCCTGGACAGGCTCTGCCTTGTCATGTACGTCATCAGCATTGCCGTGGCCGTGCCCATGACCATGTATCTGGGCAAGTAAATTACACTTGTGTAAACGTGCCTTAACACAACCAAAAAAAAGTGCGACTTAATTGTTATGCTTTGATTCAGCTTTAAGTAACATGCATGTGCAGCCAGGACATGCCCTTAAGGGCTGTAGTCCTTTGTAAACTTTAGTAAGGTAGTAACCCCACTTGTGGAACAAACATACTAAATTTGCATCTTTAGTATGATCAATACCATACGAAGGTGAATGTGTGCAATGGAGCCTATAGCTCCTATGGAGAATATAAAGCAGACAACATATATATCTAAGTTAAGTTACGTATCTAACCAAGAAAGGCTTGTTGTGTACTATTAGATAGTGAGTCGCCTTCTTGGCGGTATCTTGCACCTCATATCTTAGATCGCATATTTTATCTGTAAACTCTTGGTTCATCAAACTCTTCAAACAAATGATCTGTCCGTGACACTTTGTAAGTATAGGTTCCCTGTGTAATCAGACCGAAACACAATTTGACTGTAACAATTGCATTTACTTTCATCTATTCATACTTTCATCTGCTATCTATTCAGCTCAGAGGACATTTATACACAGCCGGAGCTGACGAACTAATCAGATAGGGTTAGTCTTGAGACTAATGGAGAACAACCGGAAAAGAGAAATTGTCCAGCTGTTACATGTAGACTGTTTTTTCTTGATCTGTAAACAATTTTGCGTTAGGATAACAAGTAGCTTTTGTGTAATTATAGTAATTATGACCAAGAATGTGTGTTTATCTCATATTCGTATAATTGGTATATAACGCCTATTATACTAATATGAGCTATATATCATATATGTATCATTTTATCATGTTTCTGCATGCAACAGTGTGAGTCAGTCAGCCTGGAACCCATATGAACATTATGGCGATAAGAACTGTGGTTAACAATGAAATAAGAATACAACTTGTATGTGGGGATTCAGGTTTATCTGAGCTTTTTTGCATATGTTAAAAAGCGTGAGTTTTTCAATAAAACGTAACGCTAAAATTGAGTGTATTTGATTAATTTTTACGTTGTTGCATAAATCTAGTTTGGTGCTAACATAGACCTTTGGGCTGATTCTTTTTCATTACTTAAAGAGTGTTAGCCAACCTCAATGACACAGCTCGATATCCCAGAAAGAGTATCAAAGTCTACCGGCCAAGATTACTTACCTGTCACTGGAGCGGGCGGCTGGACAGTTCTTAAAAAGAATTGAATAAAACGCCTGTTTTAAAAAATAGTAATAAAAAGGGCAAAAAAGGAAAAAAAAAAGAACATTTTTATTTTGTTGAAATAGCAATAATAACTAACTATTAGGTTATTAGGTAAAAACAGATAAAGTTAAAAATAAATAAACATCCCTGAAATCCTAGCTTTGTGATTAGAAAATCTCAAGGCCGATTGAGCCATGTTTAGATGCACGAGGAATCATGACTATCTATAGACTATGAATTAGCTTATAGGAAATTCCAATAGCGAATAAATAACGGGAATGAATGTAAGCAGCATGACTATGGGTTCTTGATTCGCATACCATACTTATGAGTCACTCAGCATTGTGAACAGCTTTTGTCGGAAAATGCCCCCCCCACAAAAAAATAAAAGCCTGTATAAAATAAAAAAACACTTGTAGCAATTTGTCCACCATACTTCCATACTGAATTTTAGGTCATTTAGCCCCAACATGAAGAAACTGAATCCATTTAAAGCAATGGCAGGAGAAAAAGAGGGAGGAGAAGGAGGAGGAGGAGAAGAAATATGAGGATAGATAACATGTCTTCATCTCACCACAATGCGCTGTTGGAGAAATTTCTTTCAGTAATATACGGTGATGGCGATATGACGACGTTTCAATCAATTAATCAATTAATCAATTAATCAATTAATCAATTAATCAATTAATCAATTAATCAATTAATCAATTAATCAATTAATCAATTAATCAATTAATCAATTAATCAATTAATTAATCAAATGGTTTATTATTTATTATTATATCTGACGTGTTGTTCTGACTACCCTGTCGCTAAAGTATGGGATAGAGTATGCCTTTTTTACAGTCACATGGAACATTAACTTGGAACATGTAACAATGGGTATGTAACATTAATTCAATAGAGATACAATAAAATTAAAAGAATTCTAGAAACCCCCCAAAATCTCTTTATGCACCATAAAAGAATTTGTCTTAAGCAGTATTACTAGACTGAACGTTGCATCAGGCGCCACCAGACGGTACCACAAAAGTATCGGTAGAACTCAATGGAAGCATGTTATTCATGGCTTAATATGCCTAAAGGTCTTTCATATCCTAGTTCTTCGTGTAACATGGTCACGTGTTTGAGTCAACCCTATCTATAAATTCCTAACCAGTCAGCTTCAACGTTGGAAATTCGAGGGGGATTTAAAAAGATTTCTATGATTCGTCACTGGAGGTGGAGCTGATGCAGATAATTCAATAAACTCAACAACCTTTGAAGAAGAAGAAACACACCTGCACACATGCCGCACAATATAGTTTTAATTAAAGCAGACAAAAAATAAAATAAAACGATTGTAAAAGCTTGTATAAAAAAAGGAAAAAAAAGCCCCAAAATGAGTTTTTAAATCAATTTAAAGAAATGACAGAAGAAGGAGAATCATGAGGGAAAACAATATTTCACTCCATGCCATAGCATATGAGAGGGTGGGCGAACGTGTCCACGCCTAACCCTTGCCATATCCCCAACGTCGTCATTTCGCCATCACCGTATATTACTGAAAGAAATTTCTCCAACACCGCATTGTGGTGCGATGAAGACATGTTGTCTATCCTCATGTTTCTTCTCCTCCTCCTTCTTCTTCTCCTGCCATTTCTTTAAATGCATTCAAATTCGGTATGGAGGTAGTGTGAACAAATTACTTCAGGCGTTTCATACACGCTTTTAGAATCGTTCTTTTTGTTTTGTTGTTTTTTTTTGGGGGGGGGTGCATTTTCCGACAAAAGCTGTACATAATGTTGTGGCCCTTAGTGACTTATACGAATGGTGTGCTGATAAAGAACCAATAGCCATGCTGCTTACCTTTATTCATGTTGTTTATTCGCTATTGAAATCTACTAAACATGGCTCCACCGGCAAGTGCCTTAAAATTTTCCACTCCGAATGTCAGAAGGTAAGGGATGTTTATTTTTTTAAAACTTTATCTGTTTTACTTACTAATAGTTATTATTTCTATGTCAATAAAGTACAAAGGTATTTTTTCTCTTTTTGCCAATTTTTATTATTATTTTTAAAAAATGCGTTTTTATTCAATACTCTTATTGAATATGCAACTTGAGACATTTAGAATGATTCACATTTTCAAAGTGTCATTTATGTTGTTTGAAAGGCCAGCTTTAGACAATCAACTCCACCATTTACGTAACCACTAAGACCCATTCAGGGTTGTTTTTTGGATCAGCTACCGATGGAGGCTGACGCACCCGACAGTAACAAAAGGGACCTGTGCTCGATTTCCTGTCCTTAAAGTGAAAACTGAAGCGATTCTGACACCTGAAAAGGCACGTGTCTGCGGGTGGATAAACAATTCAGGTTCTGCCTTGTAGCCGATTTGTCACTGGCTTGAGCCAAAAGGCAGGCGATCGGTGGTTGATTTTTCAAGTAGATGTTACAATGGGAGAGTTGTCGTTTTTCTGACTCTCGGTAGGTATTAATGGCGCATAGCCGTCAGAGAAATCTGGAGAGCATAGAATGTTTCACAATTTCCATATTAAGATCTGCATGGATATTGGTCGGGTCTAACGTGGGGAAAGGAGCTGCTGCACCACGATTGTTTTATTTGGTGGCGGGGGATATACTGCAGGGTTTGATGCCTAATGCAACGCAATAAGGACGGACGTACTCCCCACTGTGGCCTTTACATCAGCCTCAATAGTGAATTCGCCCTCTTAACTACATAAACTCATAAACATGCCAGACTGTCTCTGCCCTAGAAATAAAATGCATTGACCAATTAGCATAATACTGGTAACATTTTTCGAACAGATTCAAATATATTTCTCCACTCTCTTTTAAAAAAACAGTATCAAACCGTGCAGAATGATCAGAATAGTTGTAACTAAGTCACATAATCACGGAAATATTTTAAGAAAACTTTCAAATTCTCAAAAACCAACCTTAAGATCAAATTTTAATTTAATTCATTCTGCCCTTTCAGAGGTTTATTAAAGTGTCTTACTGCATGTGTCTATTTTTGGACGTCAAAAATGTCAATATTTCAAATGAATTAGCTCGGATATTTAGTGTGTCTAGAAATATGGCTTGTAATTGTGGTGTCTATTTGGTGGTGAAAGAAAACAGTATACATGTCGACTCAGGAGATGTCTTAGAATTTTACATTCAATTAGCTCCTGGCCATTTTCTATCATATTACCAGGTAAAGTTTGTCAGCGCAATGTTGTCATTACTTTATATTCTGGGTTAGGTGAGGCTAACTTCTTATGTACAACAGACTGTGCATTAATTCATTATCTGCTGTCAATATGTTTTCAAACCCAAAGTGTCTACAAGAACCCTTTGCCTTTTGCTATACCACCACGGTAGTCATGGATAGAATGAGGTTGATTACGTAAGCTGAATTTATAGTACAACCCGTTTTTAAGCTACAGACAATAATTGTATAGCAGCACCGATTATTTTTCTACTTGAGTAACATATTGCATAAATCATCAGAGTGCACGTGACTAAGAAACAGAGTACTATAATCTCTCTGCTCTTAATAATATTTATGCAAGAGGCAGCTGAACGTATGAAGAAAGTATTACTTATTTTATTTTCCTGCTGGATTTCCTTTCTACGAAGGTGTTTAAGAAAGATTAACTCACTCACAAACCTTATATTAATATTCATGCAGAAAGAATCAGAAAAACAAGCGCATATTATTTCAATATAGGCACCCAGATTTAGGAGTAAATGTGACTATAAGAGAATATTACTTGGGCAGCAGCAAACAAGGAGAAATATTATCGTTCGGAAAAGTAACTCGGAATTATCCCGAGTCTCT